AGGATTGAGGCACCTAAGCACCCGAGAGCTTTCTAACCAGACAAGAAGGTAGCGGCTCCGCTCCCCTCCATTACGAGTATAGGTAACAGCAGTTAAACCCTTCAGATGTCCGTGGTTCCGCTCCTACAAACACTTCCAACCTGCACACCTAAGAATGCCAACCAGGCAGTTAAAACGGGCGCCACGGAGCGGGGAGGGGGGAGGGAGTGTCGTGTCGGGAGGGACCTGGGCAGGTTGTGCTGCAGAGGTCCCGAAGCACCCTTGAGAGGAGGAGACTGGGAATATCCAGTGACCAACTCATCCGGGCAGTTACCCGGACAGTAGGAGTGACAGATTTGTGTCCGCCTAGTTAGAGAACTGCCGGTCTCGAATGACACTTGCTTTAGCGTCCGGGCCGTTGCACCACGACGGGGTACGCGGAGACCCTGCCAGCGTTTGCACGTTGTGTTTAAAGCGGCTGAGGCCAGGCTGCAGCCAGGGGCAGAACCAAGCTGAGGATCAGCATCTCACAAAGCCCTGACACCAGGTAGCTGCGGTGACAGGAGACACACCGGCACCCCGAGGTTTTAGGGTGGCAGGGTCAATACCCACCCGAGTTACACGCACACGGAGTGAGCTAAGGAAACGCTTTCTGTGGCTGTAGGTGACAAGAGGAGAAACATGCGAGCTCCTGAACTAGAGGCACACGTGACAACGTGGCATTTCCTGGGTAAAAACCTTCTGCAGTTGGGTGGTGTGAAATGCTACCATCTGAAAAGGGGTGCCGAAAATGAAGGAGAACCTCTACCCCCGGGTGCAGCTGGGGACGCTCGCTTTAGCAGCGAGGGGGGGGAGCAGGGAGGGAGCCGGGCTCTTGCCTGGGCGGCAGAGGAAGGGGGATGCTGGGGCACCCCCAGCAGCAGCAGCTGCCAGGAGGCTTCTCCGGGAGCCGAGTGTTGGGGGTCTGGGCCGTGTCGCCTTTTCAGTCTCTGCCTGAACTCCAGTGCTGGGGGTCACTGCAGCACTAACCGGGCACTGACAGGGAATCTAAGCCCCAAGGCTTTCCGTGGCTGTAGTTCATTTTCCCTTCACTGGTCGCAGACACAATTGTAAGCAGTTGGTGTTAGTGCATTTACTCTGGGGAAAAAAGTACCATGGTTTTGGTTTTAATTAATTCTTTAATGAACTGCAGCTTCCTAATTCTTTTTTAACTCACCCCTAGTTGCCTCACTAACTAAGACGGGGGGGGGGGGGAGGGGGAAGGGGAAGCAAAACCCTTTAGTCCTCTAAAGCAAAACCAGCCAAAGTAGAAAGTTTATTTTTATTTCTGAGGTCACTTACATCTCTGAAATTGGAATTTTAGAACTCCAGTGGCTTCATTCTAAGTAGCTCCCCCAGCTCCAACAGTTTGATGTCTCTCGCTCTTAATTCAGCCCTGAAGAGCTGCCGAGGAAGCGCAAACACGAGCGATGCAGGAGCTTCCCCACTGCGCGTCAGCCTTCCCCAGAGCCTTCCCGCCGCCCCCGGCAGCCGCCTCCTGTGTTGCTGCGGGTGCCCACCCCGCGCACACGCTGCACAATTCGCCGTAAACACGCTCTGGCACAAACCTGCCGCCTCCTTCCTGGAAAGGGGAAGGGGCAGGATCTTAGACGTGCCCCAAAACAAGAGCTCGGTTATTTACTGCTAAACATCAACGATGTCTAAAGCTCATGGAGATCCTGTTTTTCAGAAATCAAACAGCTCTTGTTCTTGCTACCTGTAAGACTTCTGATCGTAGGAAGAGGTGAGGACGGCAGGCCCAAAGGAAGCCCTGGCTTTGAAACAGCCCTTGTTTACACGGCATTACCACTGTCTTAACCATTTCTCTGTTCCTCTTCTAAGAACTCGCCCGCAAGCTGCAGTGCCACAAATGAGAAACACGAGCAGCGCGATACAGACTACTCGGCTCCTTACACGCCCGTCTCTTTCTTTTATCTTTCAGGTCTGCTCTGCACCTGGCTAAGCCTCGTCTGAGCCTCACCCAAAGACACCTCCGCAGAAAACAGGCACGCTTGCCGGCTAACTTCAGCTGGTTTTTTTGTTTGTTTTTAACTACAGAATCATAAATATTTTGAAGCCTTACCAGCCTACCAAACTTCCTAGGGAGACAGCTGAGACTATTCCAAAAGGACTAGGCTCACAAGCCAGTCTTAACAGCTATTACATAGTGTGGACTTAATTCATAATTTGTACAATTTTTTATAAAATGTTTTTTATGTATTTTAATAATTGAACATAGATGTCTTATTTACAGAGTGAAATACCAATAAATTTAATTGGATTCTTATTTTCCTCATTCTGTCCTTCTGAATTCAAGGGAAAATGCGTGCAGGGGTTAGAGGGGACCGTAAGTCTTGCACGAGCCCCATGCGCTCCTGTTTGTAAACTCACTGCCAGGGTCCACCTGGGAACTTTATTTCTACAAGGTATTTGTCACTTTTTATACAAGTGTACCTACTTATCCTTCAGAAAAGCGTTAAGAATAACCGAGAAATATTCCACAGAACGTGGACAGACCTTCCATGGGGCAGGTTTCCCTTCAAAACGTTCACTGGATAAAGCCTTTAAGAGAAAGGGACCCTCAGTTAGTACAGAGTGCCCTTTACCCGAGGTGCCTGGCTCTCACCACGGACGCAGTGATGCCAGACTTTTCCACCAGGAGGTATTTAGCAGTCTCAGGGATGGGCACCAGCTGAACCGGGCTTCAAATTATTCAGCTCGAAACATTAGGAGGGCTTCTTTCTGGTTAACTGTGCCCTTGTGCTTTGAAAAGTTACTTTCCAAATACCAGACTGTTTCAGAAGGAATCTACCTGAAACTTTTGCTAACTAGTGTAGGATTAACTAAATAAATACAGCATAAGAAAGAGGTTTCTACATCTATTATCTTCAGTGTAATTGTAGAATTGCACTAGTAAAGGGAAAACAAAGCACAAAGTCCGGTGCCCATTAATAAATCCACCTCAGCCAGCACGAACACGTGATATGTAACAAAAATAGGAGTAACAACACATGCAGCAAGTTACTGCTGTGGGACACCATCTTCCCTTCCCTTGTATTTTAAGAATTATTAGCGGTACAGCCCTAGCACCAAAGTGGCTTTTTCCTCCCTATTTCAATTTCCTGCCATTATAAAACTGCCAAACGCTTCCGATCGCCTCCCTGAACGGCTTCACCAAGACGGCAAGATGCTTCAGATGGCCTCAGGTCGTCAGCGACAAGAAGACCTGACGAAGGAAAGTCCTAGTCGAACTCTGGGTTTTCCACAGTAATCAGGCTGACAATTTTTGAAGTGTCACTACTTTCTGGATGGCTACACAGGTAAGAATATACATTTATAAATGGAAGAATATGCCAACTTTTTTTTTTTTTTCAAATTTTTTTTTGTTTGTTTTAATTTAGGTTTTATTCTTCCACCGCATCCATCTGTGCCTACACAGGGGAAAGTGCCTACAGGCCACGCACGTGGAGGAACTCGGGCTCCCAGTCCCAACCCTCCGGCTCCACCGAGCTGCCAGAGCTGCCGTGCCCCGGCCCAAGGCGCAGCGGGACCCCCCCTGCCCCCCGCTCCTGCCTCACCTCCCCGCTGGCCGCCGGCGCCGCTGCCAGCCCCCCCGCCAGCCCCCCCACGCCTGCGTGTTCCATTTCCACAGGAGGGGCGGCTGGAGGGAGGGTTTCCTACTCATCATCCTGGGCCTCAGCTCCATCCCTTTCGGCGCTGGGAGCCTGGGAGGAGTTGGTTTCCCCGCGGCAGCTACGCTACTTTCTAGCAATTGATTAGTCATTAAGCACAGACAGCACCAGGTCTACCCCCGGCTCACACCTGGGCACAAAACGCTGTTTTATGAAGTGTACTGGTGTCAGACCAGGCGACCAAACCCAGGCAGGCCCACGGCCGCAGCCCCAGCGTGCTCACGGGCTGCTGCCTGACCGGGCAGGCGCGGCGCTGCCGCAGCCGAGCCCCGGCCACCGACCTCCGAGTCCGGCTGCCCGGCTTGGGGTCCTGCCTATTCTAAGGTGGGGGAGAAAAAGGGGGGGGGGGGGAGGAAACAAACAAACAAACAAAAAAAAAAAACACAAACCAAAAAAACCCTAAGACCTGGATGAAGCCCCTCTGCTCCAGGGAAGCACCCAAGCGTGAGACCCGAGCTGAGTCCCAGCTGTCCGGCTGCTTTCGGGACACTCAGCCCCCCCGGCCCGGTGGGTTCAAGCGGCCCTGGACCAACCCACGGGCTTTCAAGAGTCCACCTGCCCCTCCTACCCCCCCTTCCGCCCGCACGGCGGGAGGGGAGGCCAAGGGTTGCACCGGGTGACACATCACTCACATCACGGGTGTTCGGAGCGAGCGCTACTTCGGAAGCGCAACCCAAATCGAGTTTTACAAGTGACACGCACCTCGCAGAGTTACCAACATGAACCACCTGGGTGGAAACAGCCTCGGTCCAAAGCACAGATACGTCTTGCTTAGTCATAAAAACTTTTTTTTTTTTTTTTTTTTGTTTTTACAATACTGTAACTTAATAATTTACAAGCTGAAACTGATCACCCAGTATTTGAAATACGTCACAGCGAGTTACAGTTATCACTAGGACTTCACAGCAAATAAAACTTGTAACTAAACATGCACAGATCATTATATATACAGTGATAAAAAAATAACGATGTACATTTTCTTGTAAGAAGAAATTAAGTAAATTCTTTGTGCATTTCAGGATTGAAACATCTAACCTATATAAAATTACTTTAAAATATGAAGTAAATATTTAACCCAAAACTTGAGAAATCTTTCGTAATCTGCAATATAGCCTTCTCATTTCAGTTTCTCTTTCTCTGACACAGAACAACTTAGGAATTTTATCCTCTAAGATATTTAATAGTAATGTGCAGATATAAAAAAATACGTCCTTTGTGGCAAGCTTGAACATATATATATATATATATTTACAAACCTCCAGAACAAATTAGCATTAAAAAACACAGAAGTAGCAGATTGACATAGTGCTTTATTTAAGCTGTCTGTACGAAGGAAAATAATGTGCATCCCTATCATATACGTGTAAAAATACTAAGGATGTACAGTGTACAAAAACAGTTTCTTGTAGTTATTTCACATCCTTGTGGGTCATATACTTAAGGAAATAAACGGTTTAAGTATGACCAACAGTAATACGGTTTCTTGGGTTCATAGTCGTGTCTGCTTAATATCCTTAACCATATGACTAGATCTTGCATGGATCTAATGAAAGAACTAGCAAGGTCAAGAAATGTCACAAACTCTAAAGCTACAGGGAGGTAATTCAATTACCAATTTAGAGGTTTTTATTTAAATAAATACTTTACATTTCATGCTTGCCTGTAATGCACTACCAGGAGCAAGATAAGGAAATTCTACTGTAGACAGTACAAACAGTAGCAGCAAAGTGTGTACATTGAGGTGTAATATATAGACCCTGCAGTTAGTAAGGAAAGACCTTACTTTTGTACTCTAGGAGAAGCACATGGCCCCTGCAAGAACAGTCAGCTTTAAGAAGCCGCGAGTAAAGATGGAGAAGAACGTAAAACAATACTGGGATAAATGTTCTTTAAGCAACAGGAATGTGCTGGAAGATGGGTTAGTGTGGGAAGCGAAGCTGTGTGCAAAACTGCCAAAATCCAAACAGAAATGACCGATTTCCTCCGCGATGGCTGCAGTACGAGAGGGCATAACTCTGTGCCGTGGAAGTCAGTACAAGCTGGAGCCAAACTCTGCAAGGTGCTGTGCTCGGAAGGCTCGCCAAGGTGGCCAGCCACCACCTCCTCTCCCAACCCAACCGCAACCGCCAACAGCAAAAGAAGAGCTTCAAAAGTTCCTCTCGGCACCGCCTGCCCATTTCGCTTTCACCCGCCTCTGACGTCTGGCAAGAGACGCACTCCCCCGACCCCGGGCAGCGCGAAGCGGCTGCCGAGTCTCTCTGTAGCACAAACTCCGTCTCTGATGTTCTGGCAGGCCGACAGCGCGATGCAAAGGGAAGCCTTAGAAGGTTTTCAACTGATTCGCTGACAGGTATTTACCGCAAACCGCATGCTAACTACTAGCTACGCGATGGGGAGCCAACGGCGGGGTTGGTTCTGCCCCCGCGGGGCGGCTGGCCGGGGGCACGGCCCCGCTTGGCCGTTCGCCAGAGGTGCCCTGGGTCGGGGGGCTTATTGCTGGTACAAGCTGAAAACACGGGGGAAAAACCACAGGCAATATAACACAGATTTCCAATCACCATAGGTTTAGTAAGCGCGAGGCCTTTGCGGAGAATTAATTAATGCCCGTCTAGTAGGAACTCGGTTATGTCGGTCACGCGCTCGCTGTGTCGCCGTGGCCACCTCTCCGCTACCGGCGCCTGCCGCGGCTCCTCTCGCTCCCTAGAGGGATGATCTCTACACGTGTCTAGTGTTCCAAGGGGACAGAATGAGATCCTACCTAGCTAGGATGTACACCCCCATCTATTTCTGACTGATTACCCATCCGTTCCGACAGATACAAGACGAACCGCGAAAAAATTGTCGAACTCAGCCCGCGGCTTCAGCCGCCTCTTGCTAAACCGCCCGCCGGCCCCTCGGCAAGAGGCTGAGGCACCTGGGGAGGGAACTCCGCTCACCTCCCCGCTCACACAACGCGCCCGGGGACACTCTGCGATCCCGTGGGCTCCGAACGCAGAGACCCTTGGAATGACAACCCACCTGGAGCCGGGGGGGGGGGGGGGGGGGGGGGCGGAGCAGGGGGGGCCAGATGCCGTCAGCAAGGGCACGTGCGCGCTACCGCTGCGCTGCGCAACGTCCCGACTCCTAGCACCAAAGGGGTTTATTATTAAGATTATCATTGCTGAAGATCAAAGCTGAAGTGGATGCACGTGTTCTGTTAGATACAGATCTTCGGGAACGGAAAGACATTTTCCTGCCAGTGGAGCGTTTCTCGCGGTGTCTGGAGTTCGGTCAGGTACCACGGTTACATGGGACATGCTGGCTCTCGGGACTCTTTTGGTTGAGAATGGCCGATCCCACAAAATTCCTATTTTCATTATTAAAATAAAGTGCTTTTCTTGTAATCACTGTGGTCTCGTTGTTCAAATGCAATTCCTTCATATAGAACAGAAATTTTCTGTCGTGCTGTCAGGCTCTTACATTATAAGTTTATCCTCAATGGAGCACAAGATGGAGTTTTTTTGTCTGTTTGTTTTTAACCCTTTGGCACATGAGGTTGGAATACCTCACCTCCGCTGCCAAACAATTAAAAGACAATTAAAATTTCATTCACAAAAATCTGTTTCTAAGCAGTATGTACAATTTCAGAGCCTTGTGAAAATTTCCACATGGGAGAAAAGTGCATTATTCCCTTCAGCTTGTACAGTCCTTCCATATATTACAAAATTAACTGCTATAAGCCTGTTCTATCTAAGATGTAGCAGCATTTGCAAACATGACACATACAATCCTTATCTCTAAAAATAAATACTACCGCAGTAAAACCAAATTAAAAAAAAAAAAAAAAAAAAAAAAAAAGAATATTCAGAGTTAAACACCTGGAGAAAAAGCTAATTCACAAACTCAAAATAAAAACGAGTAAGGCAAACACCTGTTTACCTTGGTGCACACGTTTTGGTGAAAAGCAATACCGTTATGCCTGTCTACATTCTTCAGCCATCAGAGGTGATGTATATCACGAAAGAAAAAGAAAAGCATGAGAAAGATGTTATCTGGTGCAAATTATAAGACCCCTTAAACAACTTCAACTGCTGCTTTTATGCCTTCATTTCTTGCATGTATAATGTTCAGTTCTCCATGATTGCACGTGAACCTGGAAGTTCTAAGTGGCAGGCTGGGTGAGCCCAGCCCTTCTGCTTCTTCTGTAGTATCCAACAGTAATTAAAAAATAATATATATATATATTTATATATATCAACAGTTTAAGTCCTCCTCTCAAATGTTTCCCAAACAAATTCCAGCCCGATGTTAATGACAGAGACCTGCTTCAAGTAATGATATGCCTAACAAAAACCTTGCATATGTACATCACCACCCCGATGTTTCCTTGTTCTAACCAGCACAAACAGGTGCAAGAAAACGTTACTGACTAGTCTTTTTAGACTAATGACAATTTCGATTCCTCTTCTAGAAGAAGATAAGCTGGACCAACACTTTTTTTTTTTTTTTTTGTTTAGCCTCCACTGTGAGGAAAAATAGATGACTACTTGCACACAAAGTGTACAGTGCTGAAGTCAAGTCATCTACCTCCAAAGAAACTGTTAGTAACTTCTTGACGTTGCTATTATACTGAGACTGTGGGCAGCAGCAACAGCGGGAGAGCGGAGTAGAGAAAGGTCTTGTATTTCATGCAAAACCAAAATGGACTTTGGGTACGTTTGGGAAAGGAACTTGTTCAATTTGGAACGGTCTCTGAAAGTGCCCCTGCTACCTTAAATAGTATCTAGTACTGGTGGTGATGCTCAGGAATCAATTTCAGTGATAAACTTAAGATGACAGTGAAGCAGCAGAACAAAAAAGTTATTCTCGTCCACTTGCAGAGTAGGAAAACTGGGGGAAATGCGGCCGCCTCTCATTGTCCATGCAGTCCATACCATCCTCGTCATCTGCATTAGGGGAGAAGTTCAGAATGTCACTTCATTTGCAACACAGTTTTCTCGTTCACCTGCTATGCAGTACATCTGTCAGGGTTCAACGCTGAAGTTAACGGCTCAAATTAAAGCAAGACTTTCGCCACGTAAGCTGATGCTCAGGCAGTAGAATGATGCTCGCTGACAGGATACCCTTTCAGTCGGTCACCATTTATTTCAGGGTGGGTGGGTGGGTGGGTTGGATGGTTCGTTTATGATGACTGTCACCTGAGAACTTCCATCATCACCCCCCCCCCCAGGCTCATCACAACATGCCAGCACAGCTGGCTTCTGGTAGCACCGAAGCCCACTGCTGCTTGAAGCAGCCAGTTGTCATTGTTTCTTAGGCTGAGTTCAGGAAATCATCACCTTACTGGAGATATATTTAAATACTCCTCCATTTCAAAGGGAGATAAAAGGAAAAACAGCTACAAAATGAACAATTCATGCAGGTTATACGTGCTGCAATTCTTACGTGTTATTTTTTGGTAAACTATTTATTTTTACAGCATTTACTGGGATCAGAGGAAACACAGACTAAGCCAAATTCATAAATATTTTTATTTACATAATTCCTGCAGTGCCAATGGAATCCAGGCACCAGATGTTGCCTAACCCTGAGAATTTGGATCTACGTTCTCACACGGATGTTTTAACAGTGCTTATCCTTAAAGACTCCTGTTGAAACTGTTGGCTAATGATGTACTTATAGGCATTTTTTTTCACAATTTATGTATCTTTGTATCTTCGTATATTCTACAAATAAAAACTAGAGTTAATGCACGTTTGAGCAATTGCTATGATTAGGCTGCTTGACTTCAACAGTGCCTCTCAGTTCTGTAACTTCAAATACAATCTCGCTTTTGCGCTGCCAATTTAGATTAGGTTAATGTACAAAGCTTGTTTGGTTTGCTATCAGGTTGTTTACTGTAGACACAAGATACAGTTTCAATATTCACTTAGTGTGATTCCTAAAATTTTGATATCTAAATAACAGGCCTAGATGTTACAGAAATTACCTCTGTAACGATGAAAGATCTTTAGTTTGGCAGTAACTTTCTCACACACGGTAGCCAGCCCTCCATCCCTCAAAGGCATACCAGCCTCCTTTTGCACGATCACACCAGGCAGAGGTGACACCATACCGGAGATAATAATTTAAAACAAAAATAATTCAAAAATCACTTCCTGTTGCAAAACCCCCAGGAAAGGGAAAACCCCGTGTGGTCCTCAAGCCACTGCAGTTCACTAGAAGCGGCAGCCGTTTTCCAGACCTACCTGGCCCAAGAGAAAAACGCACCTCTGTGCTGCTGGCCATGCCGCTTGCAACCCCTCCCTGCACCCCTGCTGGCCCCCACCCCCATTTGATTACCCTTCTGACTTGGGGGGGGGGGGGGGGGGGGGGGTTGCAGCCCGTGCTGAGCTTCACGCTGCAGCAGCCAGACCAGGAGCAGAGGCCAAGAGGTACTTGAGGTATATGTGGGGTGTTTCCCTGCGTCACTACTGGGCACCCGCTCTGAATTCAATACATTTAAAACCGGAGTCTTGGTTGCGTACGCACGTTTTGTATTGCTTCAGGCTTGGATGGATAAAGAGCCATTCTCATTGCGTATGTGGAGTTTCAAGAGATCAGAACTTTATGATAGCGAATTAACAGACTCTAAATTAATCCAAACTGTAGCAAAATTTGTTCAAATTACAAATACGAACAAACTCTTGTCAAGAGAGATGGGAGAAGAAAGCGTTGGCTTTTTCACAGCAGGAAGACTTAAAATCAATTAAATGACTGGGTTGAAACCCTAAAAATGCAAAATCCAGAAAATACTCCAGTTCTATATACCAACAGAAAACTGCAGCCTACCCCAGGAATCCTAAAACACACAAAAACGAGCTAGCTTTATGGAAGGGTAACCAACCTTAACAACAGCCTTTATTTTCTACTTTTGTGATCCTCCCTCCCCATCCTCCAATATATATTAGAAAAAAAAAAAATTAAAAATCTCACTTCGAAAGGGAATTCATTCAAGAACTCAGCAGCAAGATTTTAACTGCTTTGGCTTGGCATGGAACTCTGTTAAGCCCTAGCTTGGCCAATCAGATCATGATTCTTGTGTGTGCAGCAGCAGATGACAGAAATACAAACTGGGGTGAAATTACATTCACTCCAACAAAGAAACTCGGCAAGGCCTGGTGCAGCAGCTACATCTATATTAATAACTTATTTAAGAGCTCTGCTGAAGCACAGGACTTGATAGGAAATTTCATTTTCAAGTAATTGATATGTACACAAGAAACATTCACTTGTCTCTGTCTGGCTGCTCTTTTTTTTTTTTTTTCTTTTTTTTTTTTTTTCTTTTTTTTTTTTTTTCTTTTTTTTTTTTTTTTTTCCCTTTTGGTCTTTATCTAACCCACTAAACCTAGACAACCCTAGCCACTAGCAGTGTCCAAATGCTTAAAGCAGGGTCCATGTTCCAAGTACTTTGCTCAACCGGGACCTTGACTGACAACCAGCAAACGTTTGTAGCTGGTGTTTTCCCTTATTTAAAAAGAAAACAAAACAAATAATAAAAGAAAACCAAATCAAAACCAAGAAAACCAACATCAAAAATGCCCCAAAATCCAACCCATAGTGATCTAATATTCTAAGCTTTGCAACTACTCCTTCTTTAAAAGAATACTCTCATTGAGAGTTACTCTTACACGCTTCCATATGAAGGGTTTTATGAATAAGAGCGAGAACAGCTTTTCCATTCAAACAGAAGAAAAACCTTACACAGTACTTTATTATAAACCGATTACTTTTAATTATGCTTATGCATAATTTCTGACTTACATTTTTCAGGCGGCGTTATTGTAATAGTCTGAGCTGTAAATTCTTCATCAAAATACCTGGTATCTGTCTCAGATGTCACTTGAGGCTTAAAAGGAGGTACAAGCTGAAAGGAAACAAGAAACAAAACGAAATTACTATACCTGAAACCAGCCAAACCACTACCAGCAAAGAAATTCTTCTTTTTTCCTACACCCCAGATCAAATGAGTAGGTGCACGGAGAGGCAGCTGCGTCTCTAACTTCTAGTAAGAGACAGAAGCCATTAGAGTCAATCCCAAAAATGCTAGTTCAGAATCTAGCTAATAGCACAACACGGCTAAATTCCAAGTATCTCTCTCACCTGACTTGCAGACAATCTGAACTACATAAAGATAATTACCTAGAAATTCTTCAGGCTATCCTAATTATCCGCATAGATGTCAAGCAAAGGCACCTCTAGGTACTTCACCACAACTGGGTGGTATAAACAGCTACGGCGTAAAGGACTACACAGACAGCATAGTAAGCACAATGTTTTTGTTGTTTTCTTTTGTTTTATTGGCAGGGTTAGGGCCTACATCTGAACTTACCTTTAGAAGAAATTATGTGAATACGAAAATAAGCTTTATATTTGAACAAAAGCCGGTTCATGCTTAAGCAAGTCGCTGGACCTAATCCTGCCGCCTGCTTTCGCAGTACGGCGCGGCATTTCCCGCCAGCAAATCCCCAGTGTTTGCTCACAGCTGGCCGGCAGGACTTCCTCAGCCCTCTTGCCATCCACCCTCCCCTCCCAAACAACTGCCCGTCGGCCAAGGATTTTAACCAGAAGGCGTATTCAGCGTGGACTATCACACTGCACGTGCCAGTCCAAAACAGCCCAGCAGTTCAGTCCGTCTGATGTTGCAAACAGCGGAGCGGGGGCTGACAGTGTTTTGGTTTGTACCTTGGAGCCCTTTGGTGTTATCTCCTCACGTGCAATTTAAAATACACACACGGAAGATAGTGTATCAATTTCCCTTTCTATAGAAGAGGTTATGTCATGGCTCACAGTTATTATCAGAGCCTGTTTGTGGTTTCCACTAGTTTCATGTTATCTCTCTCCTCGGCTCCAGAACAGAAACACCAAACAATTAATTTGTTCATTTATTTTTTTGTCCCACAACAAAGGAAATGGAACTGTTGTTAAACCCCCCCGCCCCTCACCAAGCTCAATGCACTAGACGATTTACACGATGTACATTGCAGAAACTCTTCTTTTTGATGGTAATTTTTAAAAATAGTAAGAGTCTTCATTACTTTACTATGTTTGATGCACAAGACTTGTCGGTTTGGGTTTTTTTTATTTTTTTTTTACAGCTTGGAGAGATCTGCATGAACTGGAGAATGCTAGAAGCAGCTCTGGATCTCAGTGCTAACGGGAGGAGACTACTCAATACACAAATACAACCATCCAAAAACCAAAAAAGCCAGCCTGCCCTATGAGGAGTAGACAGTGTAAGCATGCAGTACTGTGCAACCAGCCAAAGAAAGCAGACTTTCAACAAGCTGTTCTTCACAGTAGATCTCTACCCAGAAAATTATTAATTCCTAATACTTTACAGTTTGGAATGAGGCATAAAAGATTAAAATATGGTTAAGTGCATAAATGGGGCACTTCAACAGCAAGATAACAGGAAAAAAAGAAAAAAGGTAAACAAAAGCATGTGTATGTGCTTACACACAGACAAAACCTCTCTCCATTTTTTATCACCATTACAAACGCACACACAAAATCCCACTGTTTCCAAATCCAGGTTGAAAACTGACACCCAGTTCTTCTCACGCTTTCCCTCTCACACAGGACATATTACACTGCAGCTGGTAACACAAAAGCCACATTAGCCGAGAAAGACACCTTCGCTCTGCTTTGCACTATGAGCATCTCACCAGAACACGGGTGATTCTCTGGATGTGTGACCAGGCTCTGCTGCTATCCCGCCCAGGATACACCCACCAGTCCTTCAGAATTACCCATCATCCAACAGTTTGACTATTTTCTCCCTGCCACTGGGTGTTTGTCCTTTCCAATATACACCAAGAGTTCTGTTTTATCTGATCCAAGTCTTCAGTAACAGTCCAAGAAATTATTAAGCAAAAATAAATACATCGCTTGCATATACTTAAAATGGTACAATAAATCTGATTAATGCTTTTACAAAACTAAAGTCAGTTTTCCCTTACATTTTCCTGAATGGAAAACAGCAGGGGTGTATTTGAAGTAAATCATTAGGACAAATGCTTGAGAAGCTAACATCTTTAAATCAACATCAGAAGAATCTTCTAAGTATAAATCCAGTTACATCCAGTGTTTAAAAACAAAGTATTATGTTTTATCGTACAGATTCCTACACTTTTACAAAAATTAGTTTTTTATGTGTCCTGGACATCCCAATCAATTCTGCACTGCGAAGACAGATTTCCAAAGTTGTATGTCCCCCCAGCAAAGCAGCCACACAATTCCTAAGCACCGTGACTCAAGTGGAACATCCCACACTGCCAATTTTCTCATTTTTCTGTCTCAGAGAAGAGCACTCAAAAAGTAAAAACAGCAATAAAAATATTACATGATGCCAAGTAACATAGTCTACTCAAGGCCAAGTGACCACCACTGCACATCCTTTTAAAAGACACCTTCACAGTTCTTAGCAACCAAAGTAAACATTAGATAAACTCAGTATGAAAAAAATCCATTAGATAACAAGTTGCTAACAATTATATTACTTCCCTGATTGGTATCATTTTTCCAGATCAGAAACAGAAAATGCTGTTTCACAAGAATTAAAACTTCTCATATAAAATACAAGCTTAAGAAAAATGTTCTTGTTTCTCAAGTCAAGGACAACAAACAAGGTCTTTCCGATGGTGCAATACACATCTCCAGCGAAACAAACTACTTTTGCTATGAAGTAAACCAGTGACCTTTTATGTTACAACTACTATGTGACGAGAAGGAGGAAACACTCACTCTGCAGGCTTTAACAACTGTGATTTAGGTCAAAGTAGTTAATGAAAAACAAAAGGAAGGGCAGGGCAAGACCGTAATACATAGCAATGTATGGATCTGCAACTGGAAGGAAAAAGATAACGCATTAGCTGATGAGTTTCTTCCTCAAAAAGTTACTGGCTACTTAATGATTTACTAAGGGGTTTTTTTCCTTTTTTTTTTTTGGCCACGGAAATGAACAGGCCTCACTATGACTCCAGATCACCCTCTTGTTCTCTCCATCTATCTGAAATCGTAATGGTTACAAAAATACTTAAAAAACTTTATTTTAGGAAGAAAAGCACAGTACTAAATAACTCTTAAGGAACAGTATTTTCAATCAGATATGAAATGCACCATTAAAACAAAACTCATCAATCACGGGTGATGGGAGGCAGTTGGTGCTCCAATTCGATGCTCAGTAGCTAAGCGCAATAGAAAACTGATTATCAATAACATCCAGTAAGTCAGCTGATGAAACTCCCAGTTATGACAGAAGTTTAGCTGTGTGGGGAAGCAAAACCAGTAAAACAATACACAAAACTCCAGGATGTAAGCAGAAGCAAAGAACCCGACACAAATCTACGTCACTGGTGTTTTAGGATTCATCCATCTCACAGCAGCACCTTTCATATCCTGGAGGTTAAAAGCAGTCAGAAACTCCAGTGACTGCAGAACCAAACCAAGCAGCCACGTGGCTCTCCACAACAGCTTCAGCTTATGCTGGTGTTTATCCAAGCTACACTTTCACAGACACCAACCATCCCCTACAGCCTGTGGAAAAGAGGCACCAGTCACTGCGATTAAGACACACAGATACGACTCAACAGAGAGCAGCAGGAAGGTTTCTTAATTCTTCCCATACAATTTTCCTCCCTCCCTCACAGCAGCATTTCCACCAGCACAGCTGCGAGAACAGCCAGAACTGGGGATCCCTCCTTTCGACCTGCTCTACCCCACCTACACCAAAGCAACTGTGGCCAAAGTCTTGTTGCCATCCCACTCCAGACTCCTGATCTGCCAAAGGCACACTTCTCCCTCCCCCAAGTAAATTCTTACTCTGACCTTCATATAATTGTTGGGATACTTGCAAGACACACTCCCAGTTCTAGTAGGAGAACCTCTAAAATAAATTGGGATACTTGCAAGACACACTCCCAATTCGAATGGGAGAACCTCTAAAATAATTCTTGTCAAGAAATGAGGAGCCAGCACACACAGCTCAGGCATCATCTCCAGAATAAAATGAGAGAAAAGCCACAAGAAATCCTTTCCTAACAACCTTTCAGACAAAACAGAAGCACAGGGTACGGCACAAACGATGCACACAAGCGTACGCAGAGGGACACAGTACCACAACGCCACATTCAGGAGGCTGGGGACGGAACCTTTTAAGACAGATTTTGTAAGCCATGTCACCAAGACGCCAGGCCATGCTACAGGAACTTGAAAATCATCTTTCTGGAGGGGTGCCACCTTTGTTCATTCATTGTCAGATTTTATTTAAAAACAGAAAGTAAAACCTCCATAAATTTCAGCTGCAATGAAATTGTTGGAAAGACAAATAAAGTGCAACTGCTGCGGAGATAACCACTTAGATTGACACAGAGCCTGATTAAGAACTCAGAAGCTTCTCTGTATGTCCCGAGGGAGGCTGAAGCTGAGGTTTAATGACAAAGAACAAAACATCCAACGTTAACTACGGCTCTGACAATCACAACATGAAGATGCCACTCTACAGCCAGCAGCTTTTCTTGTTTGGTGCCACAAGGCAATGGTATCCAGCTGCTATTGCCACAGCTTTTCCCCATGTCTGTCCTGAGAAGTCAGAAAGTCCAAAAGTAATGTGAGCACTGCAAGGCACACCCAGTAACCTGTGTCCAAAAGGAACCAGATGAGCTTTTGTTCAGCACAGGTCTTGTCCTCTCTCTTCTGCGAGAGAAGCACACTGCTCGGGTCCCGGCTGAGTAGCTTTAGTACAGGATGATTTTCCTCCTCTAGCTGTCTGTGCAAATTCAGGCAGAACAGACTTGAACCACACAGGAGACTGCACCTCCAGCACCTGACTATTCACTCAGACCAGAAACACAGATTTTCTGTGTT